GGGAGATAGAGCAGTTAAGCTGCTGAAACCAACAGTTCACATAACAGGTTGGTAAAGTCACCAGTATGTTTGTTAATAACATAACACAAAATAGTCATCGCCACTCTCACCATAGACATGTTACCCCAGAAAACGGCACATGTAGTAGAAATTATTTGCCTCCCCACTTGTTTTCCCAAAGTTTTGTGATGGTGAGAGAAACAGTAGTACCAGGCAAGATGGCACAGAAACTTCAGACACAACAGGAACATCTGCAAATGCAGTCTTGAGTAAAGCACTAAGACGAGATCTTTCAGTGGTATTCCAATTGAGAGGAATTTACTGCTATAAGCAAGCCAGCCCTTTTTCTTCTCCTTAATTGTCATGTTCAGGGAAACTCACCTTGGCAAGCAATTTTAAAGCAAATAACTGATGTCATATTTAACTATTTTTTATACTGTTTTGTTTCCTAGAAGAAAGGCTGCATCTGGCTACCTGCTTTGGTCAATAATGAGCAGTAGCATATTTCTCCTTAACTCTTCCTCTTTTTTTACTCTTCATTACATCTGCTTTCCAACAAAGCCCAATATCTGCACGTTCTTCAGACCTCATCAAAAAGCTCTATGGGACTTTGCAGCTTACCTTTTCGTAAAAAAAATATTGTTGTGAGTGAGGCAGATGTTGACAGGCTGGAGTTGGTTTACTACATTAAAGAAATACACTGTTTCAAAGAGATATACTTCCTCCATTTGAAGAATTTACATGATCGTCCTTCATCCAATGATCTCAAAGCACAGTACCAAAATTAAAAATTAATATGGAAAAAGAGTTATATCACTGAGTTTTTCATGGCATCTAAATTCATAGGCAAAATACTCTATAAACCCTTAATGGCCTTAAGGCATGCAATCACACTTTTGCAACTTTCAATTTCATGACAGGTATACAGTTTTTCATAAGATAATTTTGACTGCAAAGGTGATATGGCCACTTAAGATATCAGGCTTCAGCTCTTCTACACGACACTTCCGTCTGGTTTACACTGTACTATCAGGATGCTTTCTGAGCCTGCCCTGTCTTCATGAAGTAAAAGCTGCATTTATGGTCACTGTCAGCAAAGTACACCTCTTCTTTATGATACTCTACTCATCATTTCAGGTGCAGTTGTCATTTCAGGCTATTAACATTTTTTCAAGATCTGCATGACCTGGAATCCAGCCACCTAAATCGCCTCTATCCCATTTTCCATTCAGTCTACTGGCAACTACGTATTTCATGTAAAATAGCTAAGGCATGCCCTCCTGGGGAAACCAGGGTGATTTATCTGACAGATTCAACCTCTGGAAATCATTCCAAATAATCTCCATCAAAAGTGGATTTTGGTGAGTTTTAGTATTCAAGGTGTTTGTGTTGTTGGGTAATTTTCCGCCCCTTAGGTCTAAGTGGAATTCAAATGTGTTGTTAAATTTAATAGCTATTTCAGCCTATGGCAACATCAACAACTGATTTTTAAAATGCTGTCAGTATTTTTAATTATTATTGTGTTCTGCTCATGTACCGCTTTTATGCTGGAAAATCTGAAAATGTATATGTATATTACTATATATTGCTTAAAGAAATATATTTTGTTATCAACATACAATTTAACAATGTGTCTTGTTAGCAATCACATTGTGTGGGAGCTATTTGTATATCCCACTCATTTACATACTAAAAATAGACATACTATAATCTGATAGCTTGCCACATAGATGTCATGCACAAAAAGTATATTCAGTTTTGAGAACTATTATCCATGCCTGATACTGTCTCCATTTCAGTAAAAGGATTTTGTCTCAAAATGGAAAAAAAAGTTTTATTTTGTGACACCTGTGTATTTACCCAAGTATATAAATTCATTCACTCCTATAGCAAGAGGTATTGTGGTACTGGAGAAGGCCTAATTCCTTCCTTGACAATGGCTGATGTTGATTTTAGATTGTACCTACTGAAGGTAAAACTCAGTGTTTTCCATGTGGTCTGAAAACAGAAAGTCCTTAATTTAAAGGCAGTTCTGCCAGCAGTTGGAATACCAGCAGGCAATCTCTGCCAAGTACTGTTATTTCAGTTCATTCGTCAATGCAAAGAGGTTTAATCAGTACTCTGATGCCCTCTTGCATATATCTTTCCAAAATTGTAAGCTGACCAATGAAGGTTATTCTTTTTTTAAGTATAATGAAATTAAAGAATCAAACCAAAGAAGTGAGCTAGCTTGTGGCACCTTGTGACACAGAAGTTCCTCATGTCCCTCATTTTGGCTGACCACTAAGATATCTTACCACTAAACTTGTCTCTTGAAAACCTGCATGTGAGAGGGTTTACTGGTATACAGTAATATAACCTGGCACAGAATGGCAGAAATAACAGCAAAAATAGAAAAGGAATTTTTATTAATTTCTATTCCTGCTGCTTATTTTAATAGAACTAAACAGACTCAGTAAAATTTTGTAATTTTTCTTGACAATGAGATAGCATGACCAAATACCTTAACTACTTGTATTTAAACATCCACTTTTTGACATATCAAATATATCAGAGCACATGAAGACAACATGGTTATCCTGGATTTAAAAATTACTGCTGAAATAAATTACTTCATAAAATATGCTTGGAACCTACATATATTTGCAGTTTAGCAAATTATATAAAACAACTATAATTAGAAGAATTAAATGTATTTCAAACACTAAAGAAAGGAAACTCTGCATGTTCTCCCCCAACATATAGTCCTTGCAACTCTCCATGACACTAAAATCATGCTACAAATGAAGATATGTTAGAACACCGTAGTTTATGTATTTATGAAAGCCAAGATGACATCTATTTGATTTTCTAGTTAAAATAACTGAGCTTGTATTTTCGCATTGTCATTCATGATTTTACTAAACAGACAGTATGCTAAAAATGCTAGTCTGACACTCAGCAGAAAGTTCTTCTGGTTTTGGTGTGATTTTTAATCAAATATATTTCGTAGGACAGGAAATTAAAAAAAAATAAAAAAAAAAGAAGACAGACTGTCCCTCTTTCTTGGAGTAGTGGGCTTATAGCCTTTGTTCAAGATTGATGCTGAGCCAAGAGAATAGCAAATAATCTGTCTTTGGATTTCCAAAAAGGTAAAAAGAATTTCTGAAGAATTCTCATAAATAAATTAAAAAAATAATAATAAAAAAAAACAGATATAAAAAAGGAATTTCTGAAGAATTTTCAAATACTTTCTATTTTTTTTGGTGTTAAGCTGGAGGGAAATCTTATCTACTAATCTTGACCTGTTTCCCAATGGAAACACATTTTTCTTCATAGCATGCACACTTGAGTACAGAATTCTTTGTGAGCTGAGCCACAGAAAGAGGCTTTCTCTTCATCATGTTCTGAATACTTTCCTAGGATCCATCAATTAATTATAGGTGTTTTTTGATGACTCCATAATTAAAGACATAACTGTTTTTAGAATGCTGGTTTTAACACTCTTAACATTCCAATTTTATGCAATATCACATACGTGTTAAAAAGAAGAATGTTATACCCAAGACTCATTACAATCTGGTAAGTATGACATAGCATGTGACTTAGGAATTAAATAGAATTTCTAAACATACAGGCAGCATTGCATGTGGGCTGTGAAAAATTCAGCAGCATCCTCATGTCTGTAGATATGCTGGCCCTGCTCACAACAGATATGCCTGATTTTTAAAATCTAGCCTCAAGCTTCAAGCTGTGAAAAAGTCATATAAACAGATGAATAGTCTTCAAAACAGGAAGACCAGCATGATCCCATGCTTGGAGGAATTCCAACCAAAAATCTGGAAGACATCCCTTTTTACTCGGGGTTGACTCTGGTATAATTTGCAAATACACACAGCAAATACAAGTAACAGTTTACGCAAAATCATAGGTCCCATTGGCAATGCTTTCCAAAACATAAAAGAAGGAAAAAACCCCAAACTTGAAAAGAACTATGTAACACATATTTGCAACAAAAAATGCATTTGAAACTTGCTTACCTACTTTTCAGTATAATGAGCTATAATTTTCAATGAAAACATCAAATATTTTAATTACAAAACCAAACAAAATACTACTAATAAAAAAATCATTGGGCAAACAGGGACACCCCCCAATCCCCCCTTCATTTCAGAAAAAAACACTTAAATTCATCATGTTCCTTCTCTAGTATAAAACTTGATCATAGCCATTTCCTGTATGTTCAGCTGTATTTTTCACCGTGAATAATTCAATTTATGGAATTTGCAAGGAATGCATTTACTTTTACTTCTCAGATCCATCTTGTACAGAAAATTACAACTAAAAATTCAGGGAAGTTTATTATTTTAGTAAAATATTCCAGATTTTTCTGCAGTTTGACACAATGTATTTATAGGGTGAATTGCAATACTGTTTTTCCAAATTATTCTACCATGACAATCAACTGAAGCAGAAAGTTCAACCAAGTGTAAACGTGGAAATTGTATTTTACCTAGAATGAGAAGACTATTAGCACTTCCTTTTGCAAGGTTACAGAGGACCTTTAGCGATAACAGGTAGCCAATACTTCTTATATTTCAGCTGAAAAATACTTTGGCAAAACAGATTGAACCAAATTACTATACCCAAGTGCATGTTTATGAAGTGCTCAAACAGGAAGCAGGCATCTGCTCTGCAGCTAATCTCAAGCAATTTAGTTATGCGGTTTTCCATATGAGTAAAACTGTTTAAATTACAGCAATAACCACCTAAGACAGTTGTCTTCAGTATATACCTTTCAGTGGCACATGATGTGACTTGATAATATTCTTGCAGATGAAGGCACTTAACACTGCATACCTCTAAAAATACAGTTCCCTTCTGCAATGAATAAGAAGCATAGGATTTCTCTTCATGATAATTATGAGATTCTGTCTAAAAGTAAGAATCCAAATTAAAGCACCGTATCAGAATTGAAAAATATGGTTTCAGCAAGTGTGTAACATCAGAAAACTACTTACAGTGACTTCTGCAATCTGCCTCAGAAGTGCTGCAGGAAACAAGTATGACTGTTTCTGAAGCCGCTGATATTTCAAGAAAATCTAATTTAAGAAAATTAAAACATACCAACTGACAGAACTGAATAGCCAATCATAAACATTATTATTTTGAACATAATGTTTTTTATGAAATACAGCATGTGTGTAAATCATTAATTCTGCCTTCATTACAGCCAGTTTGGGAAAGAGTTGCAGATTGCTTCATAAAAAATATGATCCCTGTCATAAAATAAACTAAATAACAACATAATTTCACACTTACAGAAGATCTTCCTGCCAAGAAGAAAGTAATCATAAAGCTCCTTACAGGTGTTCCCTAACTAAGCTTAATCACATTCCTACAAGGGCAGTTAGTTGTTATGGTGTTCTTTGCACACATGGTCAAATGAGAAGAGAGAGTTTTACACCTCAGGAGCAACCTCTGAGTTAGTGCGTTTCTAGGAATACCACCCTGGAGTCCTGAACTCCCTGATTTTTGCCCTTGCAGCTGGATCATTAAACTATTACATTGTGCAAAATCCACCCAAGCGTAGAAACGTAAGAAATATGAAGCAGCTCAGATGTTCTGAAAGTTATAGCAAGGCTTTCATTAGTAAGAACTCATAATACAGATGGTCAATATGGAGGGAATTAATATAGTCTTGAACTCCTTTCCAAATTCATGTCCCTTGTATTGTGGAAGTGGGAAACAGTTCTCCACTGACAATTCCAAATGAGCTCTGAAGGGATGGTCTGTCATACAATTAGGAATAACCAGGTTTTAATACTATGATTCATTCAATATCTTAATGTTAACAGTGAAATGTTTTTGCTAGAGTTGGGTATTTTTGGGGTTGCTTGCTTGTTTGTTTTTTTCTTTATCAGACTTCAAAACATTGTACAAAGCAGGCAAGTATCGTCAACTCCACGAAACAGATGGGGACAGTAAGCCAATGAAGCAAATGGATATAATGATCATTCCCCAGCCATTAGTCATTGCTAGTGCTAGGAATGAACCAAAAGCTTAGGAAGCTTAAGGCAGAAGACATAAAAATGTAAACATACAAGAGATCTCTATGCATCTGGGGAGGAGGGGGGGGGGGGGGGGGGGGGAGAGAAATCATAAAGAACTAACAAACAAGAATTTAAAATAAAAATAATAATAATTTTAAAAGCATACGGGTAACTCTAATTCAGAGGAAGACTGTTCAAAAATGAGTAACCCTGCAGTTAAGTCTGGTAGTGAATTTGACGTGTGCACCCTTAGCATGACAGGTGGACATAAGAGAGGAAATGAGAAGAAAGGGTTTTTTATCCACTACAAATGCAAATAAAAAAATCTCAAAGGGTTTTGAACATAATAGGTGATTAGTCTCACACCTTCTGCTCCATATGCTTCACCTGAAAACTTTATAACACCTTTCCTTTTTTTTTTCCCAAGTTCTACTTCCTCTGTGTTTCTTTCATTCTTTCTTTAAACATTAGTGTGGCATCAGCCACAATGGTTTGGGTTTTATATATGGGTTTTTACATACACACACGCACACACACACAGATAGCCAGGCTGCTATTTTTAAAGGTGTTTACAGATATTAGGAACATAAATCATACTGAATATCATCATATAATAGGCACTTCAGCCTTTTCAGCTTCTCTGACAATCTTTTGTCAATTTTCAAACACCCTAAGTCACCAAACTGATCTCTCTTTTAATCATGAATACACCATGCTTTTTGAAACTCTATATGCACATAGTGAATAGAAGGCAATCATCTGAGCTTTTTGTAAAGCAAGGTAGTATATTTTAAGGGACATACCCTGTTCTTTTATGTTTAAACCAAAGAAATTAGAGCATTTTCTTAAGTTTTCCTTTCACTAGAGTACATCCAAACAAAGGAAGAAGAAAACATACATACAAAATACCGCCACTATCAGCCTTTACCACAAAAATATGTTGTTAGACTTGTGGAATAAAGGAGAAGGCATATTCAGCTAGTAAATACATATATTTACTTGCAGTCATAACTCAGTCACAGCTAGTGGAAACAGCAATTGTCTGCAGAAAGACCAGATCTCATGGTAGCTGTGAAAATCCAAGATGGGTTACTATCTTAGACATTCTCCTAGGAGTCTTTCTGGTGAAATGATCCCTGAGAAAGTAATTTTACCTATTTCTTTGCTTTGTCATTCCTTTTCAGTGGTATTTTAGGCTGTCTCTAGTTCACACATCTGGATTCTGTCTCATTTTGGTTAGTGTGCTCCACATACCAAAGTAAGTGCTTCTGTATATATGCCACCATATTCAAAATGTGTATTAGAAGAAAAAGTAATGTGTACTCACACATCATAATTTCCCTTTAAGGCCTCAAATCTGTTCTGAGGGTAATCATGCCAATATTACTGAAAGGTATATTGAAGCATAAAGCGATTATGTGACTTACTTAAAGTTACTTGGGAATTCTGTAACAAAATGGAACCAGACTCAAACACCCCATGGCATCCATCTGCTAGGGGTAACCCAGCACAGATAGGACACTCACGCTTTCCTGCAGTGGCAACTGGAAACAGAGTAGGACAGTCCACAGCACCTCGCAAAGCACCAGATATTTCTGTTTTGCATACTGGTGCACAAAGTGAGGTGGATACTTCTGCTCATGAAATATAATTGCTTCCTAGATCTTCTCAGCCAACACTATTTTATTAAGCAGGCAGCACTGTTTTTAAAATTAAGAGAATTTGTCATCATTCAGGTAGTGCTTTGAACTTAGAACTCGTCATTTGCAAAAGAAATCTAGACATGAAAGTGCACTGAGAAATAGCCTTTTCTGGTCTTTACAATAAAGGAGGGTGCCTAGCCAACCTGATGTCTTCAGAGACACTTCTTTGGCAACACAAGTTTTTTCAGTTACATACCCTGAAGCTTTATGCATTTTAAAACTCCTTTTCTTTCTGTTGAATTTCTAATAGACATTAGAAGCTTTTGGCTCCATGTCCAGAATCCTCATACCAAATTAGACTCAGAAAGAATCTCAGGCTTAGCTGCTTAAGATGATAATGTAAACACAAGTTCTTTGCTTGTTTTTCCATTTAGACTCATGTAATTCAGGTGAATCAAAACAAAACTAAGAAAACAATGGTCAGATGAAAAAAAAAGTAAAAAAATTTAATTCTTCATGGAATCTTCTTTGATCAGTTCTGCTGATAAAACCTATAGGTTTGATCACCTATAGGTCCTATATCACATATAGGACCTACTGACTGTAACATCTGTATTTCAACCTGTTCTGAAGTTCAGGGGCATTTTGTAGTTTGGGTTCCAGATGGAATCTCACCATTCAATTGAGAGTTTCAGGTATTTTTGAAGCACCCCCTCTGCATGAACATGTTCAAGGTAGCCTTCTCAGCCCACAGCAATTTATGTTAGTAATCCCATGGAATCACTTTAATTGGCTTCTAATCCCTACCATTGATAGGTCATCCTTTACACTACATAGCATTATCCATTTGGGAAATTATGTTATCTAGATTTTTTCATATTTATTTATCTCAAATTCTTGCAGCAGCTATACTTGAAACATTTTTGTGTGTTTAAGTAATTTATATTCTCAGTTAGCTTCCTTACTAAGACAAGTGCCAGCTTTATCAACTATATCTTAATTAAAAATAAAATACATGAGCAGAATTGTGTAAACTTCACTATTAAATTCATGGTATTGTTATGGCACTGCATCAGTACTGCACATGTGGAAACAACTTGCAGGACTCCTGACTAGAAATATAAAATTAGCTTTCAAGATTTAAGTGTGTAAGATATTAGAAAATATTTCTCTTACAGTAAATTTATTCTGCAGTGTAGCACTAATTAATTCTTAAAGAATAACATTTTCTCCCGTGAAGTAGAATGTGTATTACTTAAGGAAAAGAGAGAAAGAAGCAGCATATCTTTACCCTCCGCACATCTTTGCCAAATGTTTCGCTGTAGCTAGTGCCCAGTATTTCAAATTGAACATAGGGGTTGGCGCCATCTTCTCTGAACTCCATAACACCAGTAAGCCCAGTTATATGGCCCTAAGGAAATAAGTTTCAGAAATTTTAGAATAGAACAGATTTGCTTTATAAACACTCCAGTGAACTCAAATGTGGCAATTAAATGTTCTTCAATAGCTCACACACAGCACTGGACACAAGAAATTTTTTTTAGAAAAATTTTTTAGAAAATTACTTTTGGAAGAAAGCCATCAGGTCTTCCATCAGGCACAGAGACAGACCTCAAAAAAGAGAAGGACCTTGGTGGACCATAAGACAACAGCCCTTTCAGTGTAACTGAGGGCAGGAGCTTCAGTTACGGGACTGAATACAAAGGCATGAACTCCAAGTCCAAAACAGAGTATACCTGCCTTGCTCCCAAGAAAGACACGAAGAAAATCTAAAATGTAAGTATTATTAAAACCTCTCTGTGAAAGTATCACAGAGTTTGATTTTGGGTTTGTAGCAAAGCAGCTTGAAATGACACAAAATTTTGAATTAATTTAGTAACAAAGGATGGTGTCACTAGGAATGGTCAGAGCATAACATAACACTTGACCAAACTGCATCATTTACTAGATGAAAACTATCTCATCAATATATATGGGGAAACAGGGGTTTTCTTCTGAATAATTGCTAAAGGTAGCGTAGTAAAACTTTAGTATTTTTTCACTAGTATTTATGATCAAATAACATTCATACAGGAAGTTACCATGCATCTGCAAAGCCACAGTACTGTCCATATTTAAGTAACTCAACATGCTGCAAGAAAGTGTAACTGTTAGTGACAGCTTAGCTAAATCAGATTGCTTTTGCTCTGGGCCTAACTTATGAAGCTAGTTGAGCTGTAGTAAATGGAACATTAAGTCCCAAATGTTTCTGTTGGTGGGCCCCTCGAGCTCCTTAATTTCTCTTGGAGAAATTACTAAAATGCAAGTGTACATCAGTTTCTATGACTATTCCTAACCACACTATCTTCACAGAAGGCAGCTATGAGAACAAAAGTAGAATATACACCATTGGAGCAACACTGCAGTGTTTCTAATTTGTTTATCGTAAATCATTCATTTAATAGCTGTGGATCATTCCTGGTACTTGTTAATTACTTGTAATAAATCAAATAAAATTTCAATAAAGGTTAAAAACTTCTTGAAAAGCTAATCTCAAGTAGGAATGTAGCAACTCTTTCAATTGCTCACACAACTATGGTTTGTCTGTTCTCACCTTCTTAATAGTCTCTAGCATGGATCGTCCTCCATTCCAAGGTTTGGTGGATTTCCTCATGCAGTTCAAACTTGCCATGCTGTGCCATTTCCTGTCCTCCAGTTTTCTGTGGAAAGCATTGGCCAGCATGAGCACACTGTCATACAGGTACAGGTTGGAAACCTGCAAACAATAATAAGAATGAGCCTCACTGTTCATTTAAGGATCCTTTTGAAGAAAATGTAAACAAATCTAAAAAAGATAGAAGTAAAAACTAAAAGCCGAATATGTTTGATATGTTCAGCAGTCAAGGCAATTGAGACAAATACCAGAGCTCACTCCCACCTTCTTTCCTGCTTGGCACCTAGGTCCTTCTGGCCAAGGGACACTAGCACACTTGCATTGCCTGTGCATTACCAGCAGCACTTTTATTACCAGCAATGCAATTTTATAAAGACATAAGAGATCACACTTCAAATATAAACTCAAGCTATAGAAAGAGTACATCTATTTATCAATAAAAGACAAAGATTGCTACTTTGCCAGTCCTTCAACAAGGAGAAGAAAGAATGGAATTAAGTTCTTATTCTTTCTGAGTAATTTCCTTGGTAATTTCTGGCACATCAAAATATAATGCTAATGCAACTGTTCAGAACAGAGGGAGATGAAATTACATTATTACTTTGGTCTTATCTCTGTCCACCAAATATACAGGACACTGGTTACTATTCTCTTTCTCCGGAGCTATTGATTTTAGCCTCCTTATTCTTCAATTTACATGTGAGATAAAGAGAACAATACATGATGAAAGGCTCTAGTAACAACACCACACTAGTAATGCTCAACAAAGTATTTAATTTTTCAAACCAAGGCACGCAATACAAGATCAGATCTTTGACATGCAGTGGTATCCACTGCAATTGGTAAAATTTTAGTAGCAAAAGTTGGCTGAGAGAAGCGAGTTAAAAAAAAATTAGGTAATGTCCACCTGTTTCTGGAGTTTACGAACACCCTTCTTCAAACCTATGCATAGACGCAGGGGTATTGATTTACTCTTTACCAGACTCAAACCTCAGTTAGAATCAGTTGCCAGATACAGCTTTTTTATTATTAAAAAGATATTCTAGCTGAAGGTTTTACTTACAGTGATCCATGGATTTACCATTTATCTTTTGGATTTCTCTAATTCAGCACAGAAAATGTTGCCTAGAGACCAGGAAGGGGCTACACTTGGAAGTTAATACAGCTGCATACTTCCTATAAAAATGTCATTCAGCTGTGAAACCTTAACCTATATTCCTATATTACTGTTGCATCACTGGCTCCAAGTAAATTTCTGCTATTTTGAGATCCTAATCTTCAGAAAAAAAATATTCCATGTTTCATAATCTGGAAAGCAATACAAATTGAGAAACTAGGCACTCTGAAATATCTTCTAGCAGAAGTAAATCAGAACAAAATACATAAAAACAGAAATGCATTTTGAAAGAATTAAAAATAGGAAGAAAATAAAAAAAATAAAAAGAGGTTGAGGATACCCACTTGTTTAAGGGACTAAATATAAAAAGGGTTTGTAAAATGAAAATAATGCAAAACCTATGAGAGAATATCACTGAGATATTCTCTCATCAGGCATTGCCATCTACTCTCCCTTCTTTTCTTTCCAGCCTTCCTGAACAAATAGTCCATATTCAATATATTTGCTATTTAATCCAGTGAAACCTTTACCTTTTAAAGAGTTTCCAAATCAGCTACTTTCCAGATTTCCTCAGACAAGTAGTTAAAGAGTTAATAGGAGTTCCAGAAACTAAGTCTCTCCTGCTCAGCTGCGTTTGTCTCCCTACTCTGCAGATATTTTCCAAACAACTTTTAAATAAAGACACCAAGCAAATCCTTATTCAACAGGGCACTTTTCCTCTTCTGTGTTAAGCTACTCTTTGGGATGGGGGGAAGCAAAACAAGAGTCCAACCCACAAAATAAGCCACCCCAAACCACATACCACAAGACCCACTTGCTTAGAAGTAGATTTATGTGCCTAAGGAAAAATGCCAATTCTTATGTGCCATCATGATCCTTTCTACTCCCTGCTGAATATGATTTCATACCCTCACTTACTGACAACTCATTGTCTGCTGCCACCACAAATCAGAAATGCTTTTCATTTTCTTGGTTTGGCACTGTTCTTCAGTTCTGGAAAATTGCAGCTTCAGCTCCCCAAAACAGCTTGCCTGATTCGTTAGCAGAGCTCTAGGGCAAAATATAAGATGTACTTGGGTGCACTGCTTTCCTTCTCTCTTTTTTTTTTTTAATGCTTTTAGAGAAACAGCCACAGTTCCGCATGTATAATTGACTGAAAACTTTTGAGAATCTACATGACCATGCATCCAAGTCAAATTACTTTATGCTGTAGAGCAAAACAAAACAATATTGTGCTTATCAATGTAATCCTCATAATTCAGTTAGACCTATAACAGATTTTGTATCACTATTGTTTCATGATTTTCTTTTGAAAGAATCATATAAACTGACAGCAAGAAAAGGTCTGCACAAGAGGAGTTTCCCACTATTTACGTCCTGCAATAAATCAGGAGATATGTACCAAGGCGTCAGAAAATGTTGCACAGAATGCAGTAAGTTAATTTTTGCCACAGAAAGAATATTTTGCAAGTCCTGTTGTACACTTACCCATACAGTATTTTGCAAAATATAGTATTTTGCCACTCTAGTTCTGTTCTACTGAAAGCCTTGCTAAAAAAAAAGACTATATGGTACTTTTTAATCAGGAAAATTAATTTTTTCATATAATCATAGTCTATTTATTCCTGTAAAAATTACATGCATGCATTACAGAGTTGTGGAACCAGGTCTAATCTGATGCCTAAGTAGCGTTGTTTGAGTGTAGCTGAAGAGTTCATTCCTTCAATATTTACAGGAAGATATATTATTAAATTACTGGGAAGTATATTTTTATCTTATTTTTTCCTAATTCCTTTCTGAGGTAGAAAAATAAGAACACTTAAATACCTCAGAGACACTTCTCTCCTCAAGACAGTATTAACTTTCTATCTAAATTCATCACTATGTATGTATTTCCTTGTAGAAAAAAGTTACTTATAACAAGCCACAGAAATTCTGGCCCAATCACACAGTAAATCCAGGGCTATAATAATTTATTTTCTATTATATTCCTTTTAATACAGCAAAATGTCTGTATATGTACTACACTGTATTTCCAAGACGAGTTTGCTATAACCTCAAGAATATCGATACAGTGAAAAGAAAAAGAGTTCAGTGGACGAAGCCTGTATGCTCTTGTTACTGCAACTGCAGACATATTTTAATTTTCAGCTATCAAACTCCTTCTGAGTATAGACTTACCACTGAAAGTGAATTTGTGAGATACCCCAAGGAATCAGCTCTACTCTGATTCCACCATTGCTATCAGAGGCATGAGAATATAGTAAATATAAAAATCAGTCATCAGGTAGCATTCAGAATTAGTAGCGAAGCAAGACAGAAATAAAAGCAAGGGAATGTATTTGGCTACTTTGGGTTTTCCAAGCTCTGAAGCAATTTTTATTTCCCCCATTTATATATTCACAGGTGGAACAGAGGAGGGAAGGATATATATCTGCCTGCCATTTCATCAATATATTCAAGAGCATGCCCTGTACATGAGTAATTTTAAGCATGTTCTGGTATACCTTCTGCAAATTATTCCAAACTTTATGAACCTTTATTTTGCAATAAATTAAAAATCCACCATACACTATTAGACCAGAGCAGAAACTTCGAATGAGAGTGGAAATCTCACCCTATCACGTGATTAAATGTCATTTTGTACAAGTTTTTATGTTACATTCATGAGGTTTTCCAGAGTGATTTTACTTTTAAAGTTATATATAAAGATAGCTTTTAGCTCCTTCAGAGGCACTAATTATAGACAAGTACTCTTCTGGGAAGACCAGCAAGGCACAAAGACTGACCTCCAGTTGCTAGCAGAGCCAGAAGTCTAGCCAGATAGGACCACTGAAGAGACCAGCTGGGAAGACAAGCTGACACCCAGAGGCCACTGTTTCAAAAACTCATTCCCAAGCTGGGCATCTGTACCCTGCTGCTGCCAAAATCACCCTCTGAGAGGCCGCAGCAGTCAGCTCCAAGGATGAAGCAGATGGAAGAGGAGCATAGACCAAGTGCAGCCTGCCAGCAGCAGAAACACTTGCTGCCTGGGGAGTGATATCATTGTGCTTGCATATGCATACACCACCATGCCCTGAAACCGTGTTTCAACTTTCAAAGTTCAAGTACTGCCAAACGCAGTTATGAGCTTGTGTCTCTAATGACAGAATGCATCTTACTAGAAGCAGTGAAAATTAATGGTTTACTTATGGTATGATGCTGTGCTTACAAGGATATTTTCAGAGTGCAGAGACTGAAAATTTGAGCTATTTAATTTTCTTAAATTAGTTTCATACAACCATAGAATGGTTTGGGTTGGAAAGGACCTTAATGATTCTCTAGTTCCAACCCCCAGTGCCATGGGCAGAGACATCTTCCACTAGACCAGGTTGCTCAAAGCCTCATCCAACCTGGCCTTGAACACTTCCAGGGATGGGGCAGCCACAGCTTCTCTGGGCAACCTGAGCCAATGTCTCACCACTCTTAGTAAAAAACTTCTCCTTAGATCTAATCTAAGTCTACCCTCCTCAAGTTTAAAACCATTCCCCCTTGTCCTATCATTTTATGTGATAGGACACATCCTAGCCTATATTTACACCCTTGTAAAAATTCCCTCTCCAACTTTCCTGTAGGCCCCCTTTAGGTACTGGAAGCTGCTCCTAAGGTCTCCTGGAGCCTTCTCTTCTCCAGGCTGAACAAGACCAACTCTCTCAGCCTGTCTCAATAGAAGAAGTGCTTGAGCCTTCTGATCATCTTCCTGGCCCTCCTCTGGACTCGCTCAAACACGTCCATGTCCTTCTTGTGTTGGGGGCCCCAGAGCTGAATGCAGTACTCCACAAAGGGTCTCACAAGAGCAGACTAGAAGAGAATCAGCTTCCTTAGACAGTCACAAACCTGACCTTCTCCTACAGCAGATGGTTCTTCATTCTCCCAGTCCCTGCATTTGTCTTCTGTGACTTGGGAGTTGTGGATGGAGCGCTTAGTGGTGAAGACCAAGGCAAAA